ACATTGTAGTGTATAATAGATTATGTTTCTTTTAATATTATATTAGTAGCATTGTACCTATAATCATCTTTTAGGTATCTTTCTTGACTGAACATGAGCTACCTGTGTTTTAGGTTTGTGGACTGAAGTGGTCTTATGACAACCGTGAATTAGCATCTGGTGGAAATGATAACCGAGTATGTGGTTCATCTTCAATCTGATGCTCGCTCGTTTGGTTTGCCAAAGATATAATTTACAGCATGCTTGCTTAAGCTTAAAAAGTTCACTTTTATGTAAATTTACTTATGAGTAAGTAAAGTTTTAAGATAAATATTATTGGTTAAAATAAAAAATAAGTAGGTTGTTTTAATAGGAAGTCAAGAGTTACTTTTTTTAAAAAAGTAACTTTATTGACGTACAGGTAAGAAAACTGCAAAATATCCCCAAAACACGTTGAAAATAAAAGGCTACTAAACTTTTATTTATGTTTAAACTCAGCTAAACATGATCTTATTCAGATTGGACGTGCCTTATCTTGTTGCAGTTATTCGTGTGGAACCAACATTCAACTCAACCAGTGCTTAAATATTGTGAACACACTGCTGCTGTAAAAGCAATTGCATGGTCACCGCATCTTCATGGGCTCCTCGCTTCTGGCGGTGGTACTGCTGACCGGTGCATTCGTTTCTGGAACACAACCACCAATTCACACCTGAGTTGCATGGATACTGGAAGTCAGGTAATCTGCTTAATGTTTTTTCCAGCTTTGCTTTAAAATTAGAAGTTCTATCAAGTTTGAATTATGTTATGGTATTCAAAGGGAAATCCTATCATTAAGATCCCATTTTTTCATATCACGCTCTTTCAAAACGAATAGCTATAACTTCATTTGATTGGATATCTATCTGAAAGGTTAGCAATGTTCCCCACCAAGCTAGGAGATATAAAACTTCCTATGTAGTGTATTTTTATGATATTGTGTATTCCATTTCATTGCTGGTTGGAGAATTATGTTTTGTTTCCATGGAGAAGAGACGAGAACGTAAATCAACAGTTTAGAGGTATTGAAACAGAGAAGACCATTAAATTTGTGCAAGTGAAACGTTATTCAAACTGGTTGAGATCCTTTATCACTTCAGTCATGTGAAGGCTAATCTCTTACAGTCTGCAAAATTATATTACTAAATATTGGATTTGTCCGAAAAGGTAGAAGTATGTTGCTATATGAAGAAAAATTTCACAATTAACTTTATTTTTTCTCATATAGTGATAAAATGTTGGATTTTTTCAGGGGTTCGTAAAAAGGTAGAAGTACGGTGCTATTTAAAGCAAAATGTTGCAATTAACTTTATTTTATCACGCCAATTGACAAAGTATTTATCGGTTTGAATTGACTGACCCAACTGTTGTCAGATATCTTATCCTTTTTAATTTTGCATCACCTCCAAATTTTGCTAAATATTGCTTGGATGGCAACAGTCACTTCTTTAGATTTACATTTCTGAAATTCTGTAATCATAATATGTTTGGGAATAGGGAATAAGCCCTAATCCTAATTAGAATAGTGAGACGAAGTGAAATGAAATCAGAAACACACATGTAATAGTCAACCTGTCCCGTAGGATACAGCTGCTTAAAATAATCGTTTATAAGTCTAGAAATTTATTGAAAACCGCACTCCTGCTCCCCTCCCCCCTCCTGATGACCTTGCTGCAAAGGTCGACCTGTAGTAAAGGGGATAGGTATACAATGTTATCAGATTCCACACAGTCTATCTAGGCAAAATACAGAAGAGGGTTTGATTCCCCCCCCCCCCCCCCCCCCCCCCCCCCCCCCCCCCCCCCCTACCCACNNNCAACACTTAATTAGATTGCAAATCAATCGACTTTATACATTCTACTTCAGTGATGTTCCTCAATTTCCTCTGTTTGGTACAATTCTTTTTTTTCCTTTCGGTTAGTTCAGTTTTCAAATTAAATTTGAACATTAACAATCTAATACAAATTTTCGACCGTATAGCGATGAATATAATGTAAGCAATATTTCTGGTTTTTCTTTATTTATTCTTTTTGGTGAATGCATTGGTATTCTGACAAAAGTGCAGCACTCTCTGAAAAAATGTCTCCTTTTCTTTTTGTTGATCAAAGTTACCACAGATCCTAACTCAGGTTATACTATGGCAGGTATGCAATCTTGCATGGTCCAAGAATGTCAATGAACTTGTCAGTACCCACGGGTACTCCCAAAACCAGATTATAGTTTGGAGATATCCCACAATGTCAAAGGTACTGTAATCTACCATATTACTTGAAGATAATTGGATGTTCAAATGATAATGTGTTTCTAATATCGTCTAATAATAACTTTTTCTGCTAATGCAGCTGGCAACTCTCACTGGTCATACTTACAGAGTTCTTTACCTTGCCATCTCACCAGATGGACAGGTAACTAAATGAAACGTCCTATTTTAATTGCAAAAGCACATTTGGCTAAACTTATGAACGAATTGCCTTTTTCTTACCTTTTAAGTAAAAAAAGTTATTTTTATTGTTAAAAATAAGTAATTTATTTAAATTTTCATCAATAAAGAGTTATTTATTCAAGAAATTTATTTAAGCTTAGCCACACATGCTCTGTCTATTTCTATACCATAAGAATAAGTGCACTAAAACTTCGAATTTCATTTGTGATGACTTATATTACTGGTTTTATAGACAATTGTCACAGGGGCAGGAGACGAAACGCTTAGGTTCTGGAATGTGTTCCCTTCTGCCAAGTCTCAGGTAAAAAA